AAGTGTTAAAAAATAATAAAAAAATTGAAGGGAAAAGCGAGAGGTATTTCTTTGGAAGAGGGAGAAAAGGAAAAGGGAAAGTAAAAAGCTGATGTGGTACTGAGTCGGAAGAAGGAGACAAAGAGAAGAGGTAAAGCACACCTCATGGCCTAACAATTAAGGGAATGGAGTGAAAGATGATCCAAACAATTATAAGTATGATACATCTAAATTAACTTATTAGGCAAATTCTATGGTGGACCTATATATGAGCAAAATAAATATTTGTTTACCATTTAAATAGGCATTTTTTTTCAAATAAAAAAATAAAAAAAAGAATTTTTTATGTGAGAAAGTCCACAAAATTGATATACACCCAAGATATACGTACCAAAGAAATAATCCTAAATTAAAGTTCAAATAATTTCGTATGAACTTGTAGATGAAGATAGTAACTAAATGCTTCTACAAAAAGAGGGTTGGACCTTTGGTCCACTAAGAGCTTGTTGTTTTAACTTCTTGTTATCTATTAATTTGTCTTTAGCTAAGTATATTCGTTCAATTTGATTTTTTCAACTCGAACTAAATGAATTTTAGACCTCAATTAAAAAATGGTAATGTAGTTTAATATAAGAACTGTTTCAATAGATTTATCTTATTGAGAATCATTTAAATTTTAATTTATTGTATAAATATGTAAGGTGATAACAGTGTAATGTGACAGTGTGATCAATCAATTGTCTATGATCTGTGGCGACACTCTGATGGCCGGCGGTGACGGATGGCAATATGACAGTGGTAGTGTGTCAGTTACAATGTGATAATGTGGTGAGTATGACATTGTGATATGCGAGAGAGTCTTTTTTAAGGCGAATGACGATGAGGGCGGCAAAAAGGCAATCTTGGGGCATACACACTCATACATAAATATATAGTGCATTGCAATCTCAAACAAGTAGTACATGTTAAACAAATTAAAACAATTAGAGTAGTTACTACATATATTTCTAAAAAAAAGAGTGTTTAATATACAGAAATGTGTATAAAAAATGGCAGCTCATTTTTATAAAGGCTATTGCCAATAAGGCAAGAAAGGTGAACAACTCAAACGAGAAAGGCAGACAACTCAGGAAAATTTAAATTAAAAATGAATCCAACAATATTAAATTACTCGGCAAGCGAGATATTCAAGAAAATGTTTTGATCATTACACCATTATAATCAATTTTTATAACTTTAATTTTTACAAAACAAACTCAAATAAAAAAACATTTAGGAGGGGAATTTTTTGAAAATTTGTTACTCCATCCATCTTGAAATGTTTTTCACATTTAGCTTTTCTTGGTCAAAGTTTATAAACTTTGACTCTGATTTATGGAAAAACATATTGCATTATGATATAAATTTAATATCAACATATTTCTAATAAAATGTAGTTTACAAATGCCAGATTTTTATAAAATATATACTTGTGTATAAATATATTTACTCCGAAAGGAGTATAAACTTTTGTATTAAAACAGGGAAATATATGGAAGTAAATTTTTAAGATACAGATTATTAAAATTTACGTGTATAAAGGTACAAAAGAATAACATGATGAATAAAGTCGTAAAAATCAATATAGAAAGAATCTTTTTCATAACACGACGTATGAATCCAAGTTGTAAAAATCAATTTAGTTAAGGGTCAAGGTGAAAAAGTCACGCAAGAATGATCCTCCATATCATTCATGATCATTGCTTATTAATAATTGGAACTAGCTAGATTAATGGAATAAATTCCAATTTGGGTGGTGTTTATTTTGTCTCTTTTTTACTTTTCACAATTTACCATATTTCATTGAATTTTCTTAGATTCATTTTTTCAAAATAATTAAAATTGAAATTATAAAAACTTATACATTTAGGCTCCATTCATTTGGATTGAAAAGGTTAACTTCAAACTTTTTTTAACTTTTTCAGTTTCTTCAAATTCGTTATGGTTTTTTCTAGCGTACTCCTTCCAAGTTGTTCTAACAATTACTAAAAAAGTATTTATATATGATAGATATATACACAATAACATCATATATCTAAATTTATAACATACTAACTCAAATGCTGACAAAAATGAATTCTTTTTTAACTAAAGTTCGTTTTCTTACATATTTATTTATGTAATTATTTAATTGAGTAATTTCTTTTACACTTCATTTTTCCAACATTTTTTAATCTTTTTCAATTTTTTCTAGTCCAACTCCTTCCAATTTCTTCTAATATTCAATTTTGTTTTTACAATCCAAATTAATAGAGTCTTAAAATTTATACTCTCTGAATCCCAAAAACTCTTTCTCTTTTGGTTTTTATCGAATTGAATAGAAGAATATTTTTACTCCGTATTTGACTTTCGAAAATTGACTTGATGTGATATGTAAAAGTATAATGTGATAGATAGATTAGTAGTGAATAAATATGATGTGATAAGTAGAGTAATACTCCCTCCGTCCCTGAATAAACTTGAGAAATTTACCTAAATAGGACTAAAACATAATGACTTTCCCAATATGGGATCATATGTTTTTATTTCCCAATGTAGGACTTTTGATCATTATCATGTAGTCATTATTCAGGTAAATGTCCATCATTACTGGACATTATTCTTCTCACTAGGTCATTATTAAGTCCTATTTAGGAAATAAAAAAGTTTAAGTCCTACACTGGAAAAGACATTATGTTTTAGCCCTATTTGGTGCAAATTTTACAATAAACTTCCTTTTTTGTTTTTTCTTTGTCTCTAAATAAACTTTCTTTTCCCTTAAAAAACCTCTTTTACCACTTACTTTTTCATACCCTACCTATCACATCATACCTTTTTACTAATAATCTACATATCACATCTTACTTTTAAACACCATATTAAGGATATTTTTGGAAAGTCAACACAAAAATATCCTTCCCCATCCCTCCCTTAAATCCTCAAAAAGTCAAAAAGGGAATTTTATTTAGGGACGGAGGGAGTAGTTAGTTAGTATGGATAAAAGTGATTTTTGAATTCAAAAATGAAAAACTATTTGGGGTAGGAAAAAAGTAAAAGGAAAAAAAATTTAAAAAATAGAGAGAATATTACAACTTCTATATAATCATTTTATTATAATCATATTAAATTAGTAATGAAACAGACTGTAAAGATGTTGAATCTTTCACAGTCGCTGCATTGAATTAGTCATACTCTAAATTTTGTTATTATTGATTGTAAACATCTCAAAACGCATTACTTTTCTATTTCTTTATATGAGGCATCACTCTTTTGAGTAATGCTAGAATCACAAACTACTGGGACACAAATTACACAAACTTGCTATTTATGTATCTCAATTTTCATTTTGTAAGTATTTAATATCACTTTATTCAATTGGAAAAGTACAAAAATAGCAAGTTTGTGTAATTTGTGTCTCAGTAGTTTGTGACTCTAGCATTACTCCACTCTTTTTGGCGCGTGCTACTCATTGTGTAACGAGCGTTGAAATAGATTTGCTCACCGTGAACTTTATTTCAATGATTGTTTAATATATGATCCTCCAAAAAGAATTAAATTAGTAATGAAAATAGACAAAATGAAGACTCATAAGCATGTTATTATACTCCCATTAAGCATATCAGTACTCCCTCTTCTTAAAAAATTCTTCCAGTTACTATTTACATGGTCGAATGTTAATTTTTTTATACATATTTTGGTTAATTATTTGATAAAATAATATAGCCTTGACACCTCTTATTTTATAGAACTTTTGATGTAATATATAAATTTTATTTTTTATTTTACACCTACAATCAAATAAATAGAATTGAAAAATAATATCGGTCAAACCTCGTAAATAGAAACGGGAAGAATGTTTAATTTTAGGACGAAGGGAATATATTCGTATTATACTCTTTTCACTTCAGTTCAAGCCTTAATGGAAGACCAATTGATACGATTTTTTATACGAATCTTATTTGTCTAACATAAAAGAATTGAACGGAACTAAGTATAAATGACTTTTGGTGTTTTTTATTAGGATAAATCTATAGACACACCAATTTTTATATGAAAGTACAATACATAGATTACATACCAATTACCAGTGTTTTCACAAATTTATACAAGCAATGTGATCTAGATAATAGTTATCCATATACTTCACCTATCTCAAAATAAAAAAGTACTTTTACAAATTTTGTTTACTTTTGGCCAGTTTCGACGAGAACGACCCTTAATGTAAGAAATGAAAATGGTTCACTTTTGCTTCATTATGGTGCATTCTCCTGTTAAGGCAGTACTACGAACCTTTAAATGTTTCACAAATTTACAACCTTTAGATCTTACTATTCTTATATTCTCTCTCTCTCTCTCTCTCTCTCTATATATATATATATATATATATATATATATATATATATATATATATATATATATATTTATTTATTTATTTATTTGTGTGTGTATATGTATGTATGTGATGAACTGACATTTCTTTGTCTTGTAGCGTTTGTCCCTTCCTGGATGATTGATAAGTCCGTTTTGTATGTACTTATCTTTTCTATATATATTTAATGTGTTATTGTCCAATTTTAGATCAAACAAATCAATTTCTCAATGGTTTTTATAAGTTTTTATTCATAATTGTAAAAGTGCACAAAAGTTATATGTAGTTTTTAAAAAGAATAAAAATTGAGTCAAAAGTGGTACAAAGGAGTAAAATTAGACATAACTTTTACACTTTTCCACCAGACGCTGCCATGTGGCGGGACCTGGCTGGCCGGCCAACTTCAGCAGCCAGCAAGTGGGTGTCATTCAGCCGCCATCATCATCAAATCAAAAAAGAGAAATGAACAAAGATAAAACCTCACGCAAGCAAGAAAGAAAAAAATAAAGAAGAGATTGCATTTATATGCAAATCTGCTGCCGAGCGCACTAACTCTGCGGGGCGGCCGCCCGGGATCCCGCCCCAGAAAATCCTAGGCCTATATAAGGCAGCTCGACGGGTCTCCATTATCATCAGCTCCAATCCGGGTCTTTAAGGCCCGGAACTCCATTCTCCACTCTTTTCTCAGTTATATTTTAATATTTTAGTTTAGTTTTGTTCTGGTTGTCCCAAAGTGGCTCCGAGTCTGCTCTCGGTTGTAAGTTTATTTTTACAACTTTTAATAAAATGTTCTTTTATTTTATGCACTATTAATACTATATTTAGTATGGGTTAGGCCCAGATTAGGGTCCTGGCTAAATTTGGGCATATACTCTGTATATTTATTTAATAGTTGGAATAATTGTTCTACAATTATTTTTATTGTTAAATTAACTAATTATGTCGAGAGAAAAATTAATTTATAATTGGAAATTAGTTTTTACCTTGTCTATAAGATATAAAATTAATTAAGCCAAACTTTTTAGAACACATTAATGTTGCCTTGAGAGATGATAAGTTAATGAAATATTTGTGACAAACTTCTACTATTCCAATTATTGATCAAATATGTGACAACAGTAGTTAACTCAAATGATGTCTTGGCCCAAAGTCTAGTTCTAGACCTGTACTATTTATTTTCTTTTTCTCAAAAGCACCCAGTAGTTTAATTTATTTTTATTTTAAAATCGAATCGAGAAGACTTGTAGACTTGTCTAAACCTTTACCTAGTTAGAAAAATTAGCTAATTCCCTTGGTCCACTCCTCGAGAAACACGACACTCGGAGAAAACTAATTCTTCATTGGGAAGGTTGACTTACCGAAAAATTCAATTGTACGTTAATGCTTTCCTCTTTGACTGTCCTCCTTGGCGCGTAGTGCTTGGGTGGGAATGTTTGGGAAACCGTGCTAGTGCAGAGGAATCTAGCCTGGCCCAGTCATTTCCAAGCCGCTACCGTCCAACTCTGTTGGGTTGTCATCATGCACAAGTCACTACAAGAGTACAAGTCCCAAAAATGCTCCCGGTCAGTTCCTCGACGGGCTATCTTGCACACTTAAAAATCCTCCGCGATGACAAGCTACCTGAACGATCGTCCAAGTAGTCACCTGAGTGGTTTCTTGAAGGATGGTATCTGATCATTTGATGATATGACCGTGTCATGCCACTCGACCAGTCGCCCCGACCCAGATTGTGGATAGATTTGCCCAAACTATCCAGGTGCGCATTGTTTGGGCCTTACCCGATTGGTCTCATTTGCATGCAAGGTCATTATCATGTTAGTACACCAAGCAGTGGAAATCCACCCGGTTGGTTTCCTAAAGGGGATATCTTGATCATTCGAGGATCTTCTCTGCAGATCAGTAGTCTAAAAGTCATTCGGATGATCTACATCCAGGACCTGGTCATGTATAGATCCACCCAAGCTACCTCGTTGCGTATTGTTCGGGGTTCACCCATTTGTTCCTGGTTGGACTCGATGCGGGTCGTGGCTTGGGTAGAATACACCGATCACCAGGTAAATACGACTGGATTATCGTGGCAGGTCTATTGTCGTCGTACAAGGATGAAATCCACTCGGGTGGGTTTTGGTCCAAAGCCACCCGGGTGATCACTTAAAGGTATATCGTGTTTTTCACCCAGTCATGTATGTTGCACCCAGGTAGTCTTCGGGACACTCTGACCAGGTCACTACACTTTGCTTTCTCTGCTATTGTTACATCGAGTAGGTGCATGAGACCCAACATGGTAAGGTTACCTCTGCACGGCTAAGCCCGAGTAAGCTCTAAAGGTCAGGCTAGCTGCTTGCATTGGCGGATCTACCGAGAAGCTTTGGGGGCATGTGCCCTGAGTGAAATTGGCCTTGTTAGTGTAAAAAGAAATACTGTGGGTATTTTTCTTTGAGTTATTACATGGAGTGCCCCAGTAACAAAATGATGTGTCCCTAGTCAGTTGGCTAACTCAATTGTTCAAGCCCAAAAAAAGAAATCATTAGAGAGTATCTCACATCGGAAAAGTGTGAAGAAAATAATCTAAATATAAGCTCTTGAATTGAATTAAGTAATCGATTGAATTTAATTTTTTAATGTGATTCAACTCATGCCCAATCCAATGATCTATACCCCATGACGAGTGTTCGTCATGGGTAAAATTAATCATATCCTGTTTTAAAGGGCTCAATTAGTTAGTCTATATAGTTGTGCAACGACCTTTGAACGAGCACTCGAGACTTTTGTTTCAATTTCTTCTATGGTTTATGTTATACTCAATTAATTATTTTTTCACATTAGAACTTCTTAGTTTAATTTTTTTGAATGATTTGTTTCACATATACTCCTTCCGTCCTATAATGATCTTCTCAGAGCACTATTCCAAGTTCACGAGAATTTATATTAATTTGTGTTTTTTCATGGTCTATATGATAAAATAAAATATTCTTGTCACCACTTGTTTTATTGAATTTTGATGTAGTTTTTAAATATGTATGCTTTATTTTTTATTTCTATACCAATACTTAAATAAAATAGATTGAAAAAACTTGGGATTTTTCTTCGTTTTGCGAACCGGGAAGATCATTATAGGACGGAGTGAGTAATTTATTACTCTCTCTGTCACATAATTGACAACAGAATTCAAAAAGATATCTAAAATTTCGCGTGTTAAATTTATTTTATTTATAAATCGATATAAAAATAAAAAATACACCTTATTTTGTAAGAATTAAAAAAGCTAAATCAAAAGTTCTATTTTTTACAAAACAAGAGATGATAAAAATATTTTGTTTGATCAAATAATCAATGACAAGCAATTAGAAGTTTTCGAGAGGCTAAAATAATAACGTGGACTACTATATGTTTTCATTCCATGTCCCCCCTCCTCCGATCCTAATACTTTGGTGCTTGATGAATTGTCTCGGGTTTACTCGGTCACGGAGATTACACCCGGATAGGCTTCATGATACTTTGACCGAGTCAACTTTTCTTGTATCTGTTATTTATCTTGTCAATCCAGAAATTCACCCGGGTGAGTTTCTGATAGTCCAGAATCGGGTCACGATCGAGTGTAAATACACCCATCAAAGCTACTTGTATATCAAAAAGTGTATCTCAGATTATACATCAATCATGTACACCATCATATTTTGCCATTGCCATGATTTATTTTAGTAAAAATACTAACATAAATTTTTTAATCATACTAGCATTTTGTATCAATATAAATGGTTAAAAGAGTGGTAGACTTTTGGTGTAAAATAGATGTAATATCATCCATTCTTCTCAAACTACCCCATAGTCTCCGTAATCCACACCCGGAAAGAAAAAGACCGGATAAGGCTGCAAAGCGCTAAAAAGAGAGAAGGGTTTGTGGTCAGTGGAAGGAGCAACAATGGCAGCCATTCCGTTAGGAACCTGGCTCTGCGCAGGAGTTGGACAAAGGCCTGGACCCTCCGCAGCAGCTTCTCTCTCGCTCATCTCTGGTTCGAGAACATCGTCTTCCTCCGTCTCTCTCAAGGTCAATGCCCTTAAGCCCAACTCTCCTCCCCCGTTCCTTCACTGCTCCTTTCTCTCTGCTTCTTCCTCGCTCTCTAGCTCATCCGCTTCCTCCTTCTCAGGTAAACAAAGTAATTTTGTTCGGTTTCTCGGTCATGTGTGGTTGTTTCGCTATGATTGGGGTGTTGATGCCTTTCAATGTTTAGGCTCTTGGTTATTGATGTTAGGGTTTTTGTTATCCATTCCTGTAACTAGGATTAGGAAGGAATCACAAAAAAAAATTGAATTATAATTTGGAGAAATGGATCGTGAATTTTGGGAAATTGATGAAAAAAATCTTCCAATTCTGGTTATTACTGTAATATTCAACCTTAGGGTACTGGTTGGGGCAATCTGTGGAATGTTACAGATAGTAATGGAAGAGTGGTGAAGTTGACATTTCATTCACTCTTGAACTTGATTGGAGGATTACAACAAATGCTGAGAATTGTAATTGTTTGAACATTGAACTCTCTCTTTCTCTTTTCTTCTACTAGATTTTGCTAAGTGAAAATCCATCAACATAAATAAAATTGTAGGTTCCTCGCTAGGGTTTATCTCCAATAATAAGAGTGGAGTGAGCAGAGGTAGAAGGGCTGGACTAGTGGTGAAGGCAGCAAAATATTCTCTTTGCCAAACCAAGAGGAATAGATCTAGAAAGTCTTTAGCACGGACACATGGCTTCCGAAGGCGGATGCGCACTACCAGTGGAAGGGCACTGTTGAAGCGAAGACGGGACAAGGGTCGACGGGTCCTCTGCACAAAATCAAACCCAAGCAGTGGAAAACGGGTTTGATCTGCTATTTGTTTTTGGTCTTGTGTGCTATTTCTTGTAGGTAAATACTCCACACAATCTTTTCTTTCTTGGAACTACTTGCTGTTGCCCATTTCTTTGTCTTGCTGTTCTTGTTCACCAAATGTGCATCTAATTTTGCAAGCTCAACCAGCTGTAGGAAAAAAAACAGCACTAAGATGAAGAGTAATGACTTGTGTGGTTTGTTTTGCTTGAGTACATTAGTTATGAAGTTCCATTTTTTAGAACTAGCATCTTCACCTTCTTCATGTTTCTAATATACAAAGAGAACAATCAATTGTGATGTGTTGTTCTTTAGTGGTTGTTTAGATTCAATAAGATGGGAATTGTGGAATATATACATTAGTGGATGTAAAGTTTGAGCCCAACTTGAAGATGATTGAAATGGTGCCAAAGCTTAGAGAGAGCAACTCATCTTCCTACATTTTTGAGATTGTATGAAAGAGTAGTTATACAACTTTGTACGGAGGACTTCGTATTTTCCCATCATCCGACCCGCTTCTTCTTCGGTGCTTCGGGAAGAGCCCCAACCCATACCCTTTGGCCTTCTTCCTTTCATGGCCGTGAGGCGGAGCTGAGGTGGTCGTCGGCCCGATGGCACCACACCCAACAGCCTCACCCAAGTCTTTTGGACGCGCCAATTATGTGATGCCGTTATGTGCTATTTGGACGGCAAAAAATGTCTAAATTATGTTTTTCCCTTTTCAAAAAATATTATGAGTGCTTGCACAACTACAATAAACAAAGATTCATATTCTATTTGTCACATAATGATCTTTTTATATGCGATAGATACTCCGTATGATATTCAAAAAAATAGAATTTGTGTGATTGTGATATGTGTGAGGAAAAGATAAATACTCCGTAATAAGGATTATACAATCTTTTTTTAAAAAAATAAAGTGAACTAGAATATCAGGATAATTTAAATTTAAAAAAAGAATATAATTATGGAATGCACAGAGTACACTTTGGGAAAACTAAAGAGAAAAAGACTAAAGTATGAGTAGAACATAGAAAATATATTAAAATAAGATTTTCATGTTTTATTCTCAAAATAAGAGTTAAAATGCATTTACATTGCCAAACATGGTCTGTAGCGCTCTACCACTGCTTACTCTAAATCAGCAGTCACTCAACACTACATTAGTGCTGAGTACATTCACCATCTCACTCACTCATTTCACACCCATAGTACATCGCGTCCATGGTAATGTTTACATTTTTATTATTTATTCAATATTACTTATTTCTACTAAAATTAAATTCAATCCGTTAAAATAAAACTAAAAATTATTCTTTTTCTTATTTTATATTTTGCATTTTTTCAGTAATTTATTTTATACTTTATAATTTATGTTTTTTGTGTCATTCTATTTAATGCAAATACTATACTACTGGAAAAATTCTTAACTATTTTGTGTCACTTGTTTTTTTCGTCCAAATATACGTAGGAGCCTTATTTTCTTTTACAAGAGAGAATAGTTTAAACGTAAAATGCCTTCAAAAAAAAGTTTAAACGTAAAACACGTTTTGTTCAAAAATAGAAAAATAAATATAATTCTTTCAATTCTGAAGCGTTTGGATGAAAAATATCGGTGAGACATAATATCAAATTTATACGTATATCATATCCAATTTTGTATCGTTAGGTAGATCTTGTGAAATGATTTTCAATGACATTATATATCAAGCAATAAGTTCAATACACAAAAACATGAATTCAATTTAACAATTTTTATCATGGAGGGGTAATTATAAAGCATTCAAGATATTTTCTTTATTTTTGTTAATTACCAATTCATACTTAATAATTGTGCAATCACCATTTAAAATGTCACCTATTCAGCTTAGTTGGCAACTTAGAGTATTGGTGTCAAATTAGAGTGCTTCTATGGTGCAACTTGAGTGCATACTATTTTTGTTTACATTTTCACATAAATCTTTTTCACTTAAAATAAATGCCTATTAAGATAGTAAGGTTTTGTTTGTTTTCCTTAGATGTAGGTCCACGGTGAACTTTAGGTCCACCATAATATTGAGTAATTTCTAGGAGTAGTGGTGTCAATTATTCATTTTCGAACTACTAACGTAAAATTGCATCCTCCTCTTTTCCGAAATGACTTACACACTGTACCATTCAACAATCACGAGAACTTTTAATTTATTTGTGTTTTCATTGACTATTAGATGATATAAAATTTTCTTGCCACCTCTTATTTTGTAAAACTTTTGATGTACTTTTTAATTATGTAAGTTTTATTTTTTTTATACAACAATCTTTAAATAAAATAAATTGAAAAAATTGGAATTTTACTCCATTTTACGTAAAGAGTAATAATTTAGGGACAGATGGAGTATTTTTTTAGAGTATTTATGTGAATTTTTCCTAAAAAGCAATACTAATGCTAATATTAATAATAAAAATAAGGGTCAGACAAACACATATATTTAGTGTTTGTGACTACCGACACTTATTCCGTATATTGACTGGTGTACCCCTCGCCTTATTCAAAAAAATAATGAGTACTCCGTAAAAAATTATTCCCAATTATGGTCTTGTTTTCTTCAGTTTATTTCTACTATTTATTCCTTATTCTTATAAGAATCAGATCGATCCATATCAGATCAGATTTATTTTGATTCGTTCAGATCATATCAGGTCCATAAAGATCAAATCAGATCTATTCAGATCAGATGCATTTAGATCAAAAAGTTATTTAAAAAACAAATACTTAAAAATATTAATAAAACTTACAAAACTAATAATGATTAAAATAGTATTAATCATTATTATTATTAACAAATGATAATAATTAGAATAATAATAATTAAAATAATAATAATAGTGATTAATTATATTAATATTATTATTAATAAATAATAATTAATAATTAATAATAATCAATAATAATAATTTGTTACCATCATACTTAATAATAACTGTAATAGTAATCAATAATAAAGATTCAAATTATAATAATCATTATTATTACTATTTAATAATAATGATAATAACAATTTTTAATAATATTTACTTGTAAATATAATAATAAAAATAATTATTGTTAATTAATAATGATAATAATCTTCAGATGGGATCAAAATCATTCAAATCAGCCTTAAAAAATTCAGATCAATCAGATCAACCGAAGAGAACCTAGTTTGTATCAAATTTGCAAAATACAAACGGTTGTGGTTGGACTGTTGAAGTTCCACGTACAGTTAACGAAACAAAAAATGCTAGATTCACAAACAAAATTATTTTAAATAATAATCTAAAATAATTTTAAATTAAATAATCTAAAATAATTTTAAATTAAAAATTTAAACCATAAATAATAAGTTTGTTATGATTATATTATTTTAAGAGTGTATTAGAGTACCCATCATCTTCCCGCCGCACAAATTTAATATTCTCTCTCCCACTCGTCGACCGACGTGTCTCATCTCTCTCTCTCTCTCCACTATATACATCCACGTACTGTACATGATGCGTAGTTGTGCACAGAGACGCAACTCTGCGCTTCTTCTCCCTTTTTCTATCTAAAACCTCCCCCACACTCCCTCTCCCTCGAAACCCTAAATTCGCTGCCCATCCTCTCCCCCCCCCCCACTCCGGTTTCTTACGATGAAGCTTCGCTCTCGGCGTTCCAGGCATTCCATGAATGGTAATCCTCCATTTCCGTTTTTTTTTAAAATTCAATGAGTCGCATCGGTTTATCCTTGTATGCTATGTGTTTCTTCCGTTCAATTTCGTCTGTTTTTCTGGTGTTTTAATTCCTTCAGTCCAATTTACGCGGGATGGTTATTTAGAAACCAGCAATTTCATTTTTATTAGCGACTGTATATTTTTCTCGGTGTGTTTATGTGTGTGTTTCCTTCTTGCGCGATGTATAAGCTGGAGAAGGGAGTGCGCATCAAGACAGGAGCTCTGACGAGGATATTTTTAGCATAGATTCTTCTGATTCTGAATATCTTGCCAGCGAAGGTATTATTGCCAGGGCAGCTTCATTAATTCATGCTCAATTTTATCCTTTTTATTTAGTCGCGTTTTCTGCATTGCCAACTTTGTTAGGCTTTTCATCAATGCTAGAAAATGTGGTTGATGATTTAACTTTAGGGACTAGCTGTGATTAATGATGCCCGTTTGCAGATGAAGTCCTTGTCAAGATTTTGGAAGAGAGGTTATTGAAAGGCTTCCATGTAAATGAAAGTGATGGTGAGTCAGACTTTGGTGACAATTCGTTCAAGGCTTCAAAGCGGAGGAGGAAGGCCGGGCCTTCAAAAAAGAGGTCAGAAAAGGGTGCGGGCTTTGAGGAAGAAAAAATGCACAATGAAAAGGCGGCGGGTGATAGGAAGCGTGCCATGGGAGGGCCTCATTCAAATAATCCCGATTTCATTGAATTGCTGGACAGGATAAGTGAAAGGAAGGAGAAAAGTTTAAAGAGGAGAAAGAACAGACCGATACTGATGTGGGAAGTATGGGAAGATGAAAATGACCAGTGGCTTGTGGATAACTTCACAACTGCTGTGGATAACCAGAATGAGATGGTGTTTGAAGTGGCTGATGCACCTGTGGAATTGACAATGCCACTTTTGAGATACCAAAAGGAGTGGTTGGCATGGGCTTTAAAACAAGAAGAATGTTTTTCTAAAGGGGGTATTCTAGCCGATGAAATGGGGATGGGGAAGACTGTACAAGCAATAGCACTGGTGCTGGCCAAGCGTGAGCTCAAGAGAGCTGTTGGTGAACATAGTTTGCTTTCTTTTCCTCCTACGTCTCATCAAGATTTGCCAGCAATCAAAGGTACTCTTGTGATATGTCCATTGGTTGCTGTGATGCAGTGGGTTAGTGAGATTGATCGTTTCACTAAGAAGGGCAGCTGTAAGGTGCTAGTTTATCATGGATCAAATAGGGCAAAAAACATAGAGAGACTTTCTGAATATGACTTTGTTATTACAACGTACTCCACTGTTGAGGCCGATTATAGGAAAAATATGATGCCTCCAAAACAGGAATGCGAGTGGTGTGGAAAATCTTACAGTGACCAAAGTATGATTGTTCACCAGAGATATTTCTGTGGGCCAGATGCTGTTAAAACTGCTAAGCAGTCAAAGCAACAGAAAAAGAAACACAGTTTTGGGATAAAATTGTCATTGGACATACATAAATCTGATACAGGCAAGGATGAGCAGAACAATGACTGTGAGTGTAATGCAAGGAAAAGAGGCCGCAAAAAGGGCATTAAAAGTAAGAACATTGGCAATGAATCCAACAATGACTGTCTTGTGGAGGGCATAGAAGATGAAGATCAAAACATCTCTGGGAAGAAATCAATTTTACATTCTGTGAACTGGGATCGCATAATTTTAGATGAGGTAAGATTTCTCTTGTTTCAAATTCAAATTACATTTTTTATAGTCAATTGGTTCAATGACGTGTGTATATTTTGGAATCTGTGCTGCTTACTGTGTCTATTTCCTGTGCATCAGTTCAATGTGCTTTAGTCTCCTGTAGATTTTCAGTTAGTGCATACGGAGTATATAAATTTGATTTACTATGTCTTGCATTTTGAGGCGAGCTTACACTTTTTGTGTTACAGTGAATCTAATTGACAATGATATTCTATCTCATTATTTCACCATGAATATATATTAATTTCGTCATTGCTTATAGTAGCACTTTGAATC